ATACTTAACCACCTATGCCATGACAGCGCGAAGCGAATCAATAACATCGCGTGTATGCGCCGTACCACGCTAATAGTTGCCTCCTGTGTTACATCGGATAATTTAATGTACATTATTATAATGAAAAATTGACGATAGGTGTAAAACATCTGCATTTCCGATAGTTCTTTAGTTGCCAAAACAATTTATTTTGTATCATGAATAACATGTAACTAAAAATCCTTGCGAGTTATCTCGATTATAGGTTTCTTATTTACACAAACATCTGAAGACTCGAGGGATGGGTTTTCTTTCACTAAAATTAAAAAAATATTAATATTAACTACTATTACATTCAGTATTGCTTCCATAAGCAATGACAGTTGAGAACACAAAAAAGTTTTTTTTGCATAAGATGCATTAAATATATTTTTGCTAAAAAAAGTGACATTACCAACCGCCTCTACAGTTATAATCATTGGGATTATGAGACACGTCAAAGATCAGACGGAATATGGAACCAGCGAGCGTGCAAATGGGTTATGCCGTCTTTAATAGCGGCCGTAAGCCGAAAAAACATCCATCGAAATTCTCCTTTAGACCGGTCTCAGCCGTGCCGGTGCAACTGCTATGACGACGTTCCACAAGAACACTCCTAAATAATTTAAAACAATAAAAAATAGCTTCGATCTTATCCGAGCTGTAAAAGTCGAGATAATTCTGCCGAAACTGATTGTAAAACAGCGTTCACTTGCTGGCTATTTTAATTCTTCGTCAACAATATTTTGTAAAAATTTGTTATGCCAATTTTATGCCATTCAAAATCTGTGAACACTAATAAAAATGTATATAGAAAATAAAAATAATAGTTAATTGCGTTTTGGTTCATTTAACTCATTGACGATAGGGGAAAACTAGAGATACCTATGCGTTATAATGCGATATAAGATTTTTGAAGTAACTTTTAAAGTTTAGTTCAAATACTTATAAGTTTAAACCTGTTATTTTAATTATATTAATTACATATATGTAAAAATATGATGTGTATTGACTTAGTAAAATGTTGTACGTAGCTATATTATTTCATAATCTCTCTACTAGGATTAATTTTATCCACAAACTGTGGCTGTTTGGAGATGATTTAATTATGTTGTAAACTGTAAAGATATATTCGGATGAGCTTTTTAGTTTTTCCCAACAAATTAATATATTGAAATTTATTAATGAGAACTGCCGGATGTGACCCGTTATAATGCTCAAGTGATTACTAGGGATCTCTTAGAAATCGTGATGCTAGAGGGTAAAGGCCTATCCTCACAAGCAACTTCGTGTTTCTTTTGTAGATGTTACCCAAAGTGGATTGAACTTGTATTAAAGATAACTATAAAGCGTATCTCCGCTGTTTTCATACCATTTGACAATCGAGTGTTGTCAATTAAAGCGACGGCTATGTTGGGAATGCCTCTCCAGTTAGGCGCAGAAACATGAATCATTGAGTTGTGATTGTTCTATAGAATACATCAGTCGACTGAGCTCCTCATTGTCTCCTCATTGATAATGTATATTTATATAGAGGAGAATATAGAGGAGAAAAATGAGTAGGTATTTTAAAGAATTAAAATTTTATCAATAATATCGCCAAATGAGACAAACAGACCAACCAACAACAGTATTAGAAATAATTTGGTTATTTACGGAGAATGTAAGCGTCCTGAGATTTATATTAACGAAGGCTACGGCTTTCGTGAGTGATTGTAATAGTTTATTTATTCTTTTAACCAAAACTGAGCTAAAACATTATGGCAAACGAGCCTGCGATGGAATATAATGGATGTCTGCGATGTCTGTCATGGGGGTCTTATGCCGACAGTGAATTATTTGTATCTTCTTGACTCAGTGTTAAAACGACTTCAGATATAAATCTTCCATTGTATGTAGGTACTTATTTTACACGAATGTAAATAATTATTTTTACTTTATTTTAGAATAACTAATATGTTATAGAATAAACAATTGGTTTTCTTTTATTTTGGATTCACTGTGCAAAATAGCTGACAACATTGAGGCATATTAGTCATCATCATTATTATAATTTTAGCGATTTATTGTCTAGGTAGAATATAGGCTTGTCACATGCACGGCAGTTTACTAAATGGATAAAATGTGAATGATTTAAAAAGTTTAGATACCTAATTGACATTTGCGTTTGCACAAAGAATGATAAATGGACGCAAGAACAAGGTAAATGTTCAATGCGTTTCATATATAATAGCAGACAATCATACACCAACAAAGTAATTTATTATTACCGATTATGTTGTAGACAGCCGTACACTCTGACACTTACTCTGACGGAAAAAATAAATAAAATTCGAAGAATTAACTGGCTAAAAATGTTATGACTTACATACTTCGGATGGATTACTCAGTAACTATTAACAGTAGTGAATAAAAGAAACACAACTTTTATATGTAAATCATGCAAGTAATGAAGATTTTAATGGTATTTTCTATGGAAATGCCAAAGTCCTTTGCGTATGCTCTGCATAATGACTGGGCAATATTCCGAATGTTATTCAGAGACGTCAAGCTAGGGTACAGTCCACGGGATATTTTTTTTTGCTTTTGTTTCATTTTTAGTGGCCATTGCTATTGCGGTTGCCTATTACGCTGTTATTTTTAAAGCGGCATTAAAACGATAGCGAGGAGCATTTTTATCGTAATCGTGGTAATCAGAGTACACGACCACCGACGACGGCATTGTTTCATGTGTCTTAGAATTAGTACGTTAGAATGAGTATTCTAAACTCGACAAATACATAAGACACAATGTATAATGCTTGCACTGTTTTTGATGTTAATTGACTTTTCGAGTAAACGTTTCAATTTGAAAGATTTTTTATTGTTGTACCTTTTCTTTATTTATACAAAGAATATTCTTAAATACGACTTCTTTCATTTACAAAGAATGCGATTTAAAACTAATATTGGTTATAATTGTTTAATGATTTCGCTAGGGAGATGTATACCATTTACTCATACAAATATTCTCAATGAAATTTACTGATTTATAAAAATTGTGTTATTTAAAAATAAACAATACTATTAAAATCTTGTGGTTATCGTCTGTTATTATATTTAGGTAGTCACGCCCTTTTTTATCGAATATTGTCGGCATGTATGCCCTATTAAAGCTTGTATTCAAAACACCAGTCATGGAGCCGTTCAATTAAATGCTCCCTCAAGCGTCGTTACATCTTCGGATGAAAAAATCTTTGTATCGTTCAAATCTATACTTTTGCTCCCTTTGCAGCTATCAAGTATTACTTGCTTCGATTTTTTATGAAAATAAAATCGTGAATTTCATTTTATCGACTCGTATCGCCGGAGAACGTAACTCATCTGATGTAAAACAATGCTGATAGGCATCACTCGTGTGAGATCAAAAGATTATAAAAATATACGAATACGTTCGACGTCTTAAAAGTACCTATTTGTTTCATGTTTTGTACGTTACATTTTAAGATAACTTATATTTAAAGTAGGTACAATTTAGTCGTAACATGTCTGCAACCTATTCGTATAGAGAAAATATCAATATTATGTGAATATACCTAATGTTTCCAACGAATTTTCTTGCAATCTGGCGAAATGATCAGTACTATTTTTTTATGTTCATACACACATTTCTTTACTCGATAAAATTTCAAATTACATTAATTTATACTACGATGTACATTAAAAATTTATATTATATTATTAAACACTTCCCACGTAATACACAACACAGGCCGTCCCCATATTTATTGCTCTTTTTTTAATAATTATTATCACATCACCTTGACTGGATTGAAGCTGAAAATCAGTGTTTTGTTCTCTAAGTTTTCCACATTACAATTTGTATTGATGCAGATCGTATATAATAAGACAAACTTGTTAATTTTATGTCGAATATTGTCCATATTTATATAAGTGTATTTGCTATCAGCATTCGAATAAACGATTTACCTATCTAATAAAATAAAATAAAAAAAAATATAGGTACATATAACGCGCTCTTCATGTCAAAGCCAACGCATAAACAGCGTCCCACCAATTAACGTAGCTTTAGAAGCAGCGTGTTTAAATAGTGAAGTAAAGCTGGCGGCGGCTTTTAATCCCCAGTAAAACTTCTGTTGCTCTTATTTCTATAAATAACTAATTTAATTAGTGCACCCTGCGCTAACCGTATCCTGCAACTTTTCTCTCATAAACTAGGTTTAGAAAATGGTAATCTGAGTAAATTTTATATTTTTTCCCCAGCTATTTGAACGTGGTGATCGAGAAGCTAATATGAAAATATGTATACACACTTTTACATTAGCTTTATTTTCATGCTATGCTTCCGTAAACTTAGATAAAAGTTAAAAATTAGTACAATATTATCATACAAATTATTACTATTAATATTATTGCTTCCAAGAACTAATACTAACTTACATTTACTTTGTGGTAAATGTAAGTATAAATTTATTTTTAACAAATGTATTTTACATAAGTGAAGTTGTAAGCGTCAATTAGTGAACGTCCAATAATTGCTGATCTGTTGTTGTTTTATATGTTATCCTCAATGGGAGATATAACAAAAGTACATCGTCCTACAAGCGCGCCGCATTGAGAGTTAAGAGAAAAAACTACGACAATCCTTTGGACAAGCGAAGAATTCGCGCCGACCACAACAAGAACAAATTGAGCGCGAACTATTGTGCGGTACGATTTGCCGAGATAAACTCCCGTGTCGAGGAGCGCGGGCGCCGACTGTCCGCCCGCCGCCGGACGTCCGCGCCTAACGCCACCACACCACGGATCTTACCGACATTCCTAAATGAATTTACTCCATTGCTGGCAACCTGGTTGGCGCTGATCGGGCTATAGATTAGATACAGCAATGTACGCATCGTGTAGTAGTGTAATTGGAGTGGTGGTCCGTGGTTGGTTCTTGTGGTGGTGCAAGCGGGACGCGTCGGTGTTATAAGGAGGGGTCCCGGGCAGCGCGCGCTCAGTGTGCCCGAGTGTCCCGTGTTGCGTGAGCGCAGTCCCGTGTGTGGACATAACTTTGGCACTTGTCCGCAAAAAGCAGCTAAAGTCAGCAATATGCAGATCGTTCTGGCCACTTGTCTTTTGCTGTTCGCAGCTGCCCTTGGGCCCTCGGCAGGTAAGTGACATAATATTCTCAATTTTTTAATCCCAATTCATTATAATGTTCTCATAGCACAATTGAACATAATTTAAAATTATGTACCAAGAGCAAGTACCTATTAGGAGAAACCATATGATTATATGTATTATTATATAATTCATATTAATTTTATTTTCATAAAATAATCTAGTCAGAAATGGCAATTGGAATAAATATGGTATAATGACGACGAATTAATTGGAATCTACATATAATTCGATACACGCACTAGCGTCATTTTGGTCATTTATTTAAAAGTGACGATAATATACTTTAAATTAGGCTCTTTAATATAATATTATTAGATAATTTACCAGATATCGGTCAATTAATTAATAATGATTCATTAATGTAATAAATGTTATGAATTTTTTTTAGACTGTATAATATTTTGACCTTTATTCCATAAAGGTCAAAATAGTAGGCAATATTTATTATATATCATCATATTACAAGTCAATACTTTTTCAAAACTGTTTATAGCATAATAGATTTTTTTAATAAAGATTATATAAGCATCTGGGATTACCACCCCCATGAATTTACCAGTTATGATTTTCCCATTATCCAAGGGTATCATATCATAAATGGTAAAGGTTTTTTACAAGCAACCATAATTACGGGGTTCGAGATTTTAAAACCAATTTTGTCGAATCCAACAGACCTAACAACATGATATATGTGTTATTGCAGATTTTATTGGTATAACATAGTTCTATCAAAATTATTAGATACTTATTAAAATAAATTACTGCCTACACCGACTCGTGATTAAATGTGATTTCGATAGTAAAAGTTTGTATTATCATTTATTACAAAGTATTACTCCAAGAAAATACACGTATAAATGCTTAATTCAAGAAGAAAAAACAACTTCTTCTTAATTCATTGTTTTATTATTAGTTAACGTACAAAAAGTAATGGAATAATTCTATTTTTAATAATAATATACAAATAAATGAAACTGCCAGTGAATACTATAAACCAACAAAGTTGAAAAGTTAAAAGTTTATAAAGCCCACTCAAGTGATTAATAATAGGAGGAGAGGAAAAGAAATGCAGACAAAATATACGGGGACAATTCTGTGCGGCAATTGTGTAATAACATTCTATGGAATCTAATGAGTTTGGTTAGATGTAATAATAGCTCTTATTACTTACCATAAAGGATTATACTAACCGCAAATAACTTGGTAGCAGTAAGGTGGCTGTTGTGACCTACGGGTCTTCGACCTTCATTGTTTCATTATAGTACAATGGTTGGCCATAGGCCCTTGTAAATAGCTTAAAGAACATTTAAGAATGTAGTTGTAATTATAAGTATCTTTGGAGCTGGTAGTTGAATAATAATAAAGAAATATCACTATGATTATATCGAAATTAATGTGGCACAAAAATGTGACTCAATTCTTTTGATTGAAAAGAAGAATCATCAAATTCGATTCGGAGATCACAAAGATATGACGAACATATCCGCAATAATTACGTTGTAACCTTTTCGAAAAAGCTTGAACGTTTTCGTTTAAATGATCTAAACTAAATATTTAAAAGATCTTTTCACCTGAGTTTTAAAGATCAAAAAATTACAAATCATTACATTTTTAAAGACATTAATTAAGTTCTACATGGAATTCTAAAAAATATGCACAGTTTGAAATTATTAATCTTTTACATTGATATTGATTATAACAAACAATAGTTATAATTTAATTCATTCACTATAGAGCACAATCAATCTTTACAAGTATACAGTAGTACGTAACATCAAGAAAGCTTCACATAAGAAAGTTACACCATACGAGCGAAAGGCAGGAGGTCATTTAAAGGTGCAGGCTCTGTTGACACAAGTGCACCGTCCTCACATGACACAGGTAGGAAGGTAGGTACTCGGCGATACAATATGCCTTCAAAAATTGACTTATAAATACACTGTAGTATGGGACACTTACATAGCAGACAAGTTTTTAGTAAATTGAAAAGTCCAGACGGTCTCCAAACCCTTAAAAGTTTGACCCATGTCAGCGATAATAAAGACAAATTGTAGTGTTTTTTAATGTGGTTTAGGGTCAACAAATAATTGTCTCTTTCTTTGATTCGCGACATTGATAATACAGTTTTATTTTGTCTATGGAACTAATGCTGTTGCCTGTTTGTAAATTAAATAGAAAAATAAACTTTAAAATAATAGAAGTACCTTTGCAATTCTGTTCTATGGAAAAAGAGCAATATCTATATTAAGTATTTCAGATAATAAGCAGCAGTATATATGTATAATTATATAAGAGCCCAGTATATATTCGAAAAGATTATTATTATATAATAGTATTTCTTTTAGCTAGGATTTTATTGTCTACTGGAGGCTTGTACCAACTTGCCTCATTTAGAACACTATATAATAAATAAGCTCTAATGCAACCATAAATTTCTAAGAAATATAAAGGTTTCATTAAAAATTTATCATCAAATAATAAAAACTTGTCTGCTTAAATAATTGTCGCCGCGGTTGCATCATTACGGTCATACTTGTTATTGAACATTTAATTTGCAATGTCAATGACACCGGTGGCGACTATATTAAATGGGTTGCCGCGGATTACGAGTACTTCAGGTGTCTCTGACGTTAGTCTCTGAGAAAACGATTTATACCAATCAACATTGCAGCCACGATTCTGTTAATGAGCCGCGTCCGTGGTTATCGGACAGGTTATCGACAGGTCTGCAAAAACTATGGAACGGAAGTCGGGTGGGATAAAAAAAGCGAGGGGTGAGGGGAGCAACAGGTGCGGGGTTCATCGGTCTACGGATAGGCACCGCGTGGCCAGGACACCGTGGTTGCTCCCATGAGATGTTATAATTACACTGACGTGAGCAGCGTACCTTGTAGTTATTGCAAGTTATTTTAGCGACATAAGCAATGTAAAATATTTATGAGATTTGTTATAATAATTTAACAGGTAATTTTAAAGGAAAGTAATTAGTAAACACTTTCTGTTTACTAATTATTTTCCTTTAAAATTACCTATATGTATGTGTATGGTTTACAAGTAGATATACAGTTATGATTAGTTCGCTGAATTCTATAATAGATAATATACAAATAAAATAAAGTAACTGTTTTTGTATTTCCATTTTCCCGCTTACTTCCAACTATGCAACGTTTTTAATACGGTTTTATAATAAAGGAATTTCTTCCGAAAAGGAGGAATATCGGTTAAATAATATACAAATTAATTTAATAAAGATAATAAAATAAAAAGATAAATATGTATACATATATAAACTTCTGTAAACATTTACGCATCCATATAACCCATAAAACGATACTATCATTAATATTAATCTTTGGTCGCCTTCTATTTGTGATATTCTTTTAATATTAGAAAAGAACTTTATTCCAAAGGAACATGGACTTATTGTGCAACCTTGGCAGTCGAATCGAGTCGACAACAACCAACCCGTTCGGGGTTCGCTATCTGATTTGAGATGAGAGCCTTGGATGTAAAGTATATAAGCCATTTAAAATAGTATTCTTTTTATATCGAAAGTAATTATGACGATTTGAATTACGAAGTTACTTTCGTAATATGTGAGGTACAGTACGCGTGGTTGTGACAGGGAAATTAATTGTTCCAGTATGTTATCATAACATTATCGTACCTTACATATCGTAATTTAATGCTCTACAGACTGTATGTTTATAAACTTCATCGTATATATAATTTCGTAATCTTTTAGCAAACTGTGATGAGTATATCGTTATTTTGGGATCAATATTTAAATATACGCTTATTATGTGAAACGAATTGTAAAGTAAGTTAATTATCAGTTGTAGCTAAATATAGTAAGCACATTAAATTATTTCATTCTTTTGTAAATCACTATTAAAGCGCACATATGTATACCTATTTCATTGTAATCATACGAATTTATAGTACTGTAAACTTACATGTAAGCTCTGTTCAATATGGGAAAAACAAAACGTGAAATAGTGTATTTGTGACGACGGTAATCATGACTGTTTTATTACGAAGACACTCCATCCCGTCGGGTAATAAGTTCATCAGTGTGTACCGTTAGCAAACGCGGGAGCACAATTACGTCATGATGAAGGAACATCATATAAATTACATTACATTCCATCAAAAAACCACATACATAATTCTATGATGAAACGTGGTAATATCTTATTCCTGTGGCGATGGAGTATGGATGGGATTTCTATTCAAGAATAAAATGTAAGGATGAAAAGAAATTAAACCTCTTGGCCCGTGCGGTAATAGTAAATCGTTGGTTATTAAAGAGAGGATTATCTGAATATATTCGCTATAATGGTAACAGAACAGATAATCTTAAAAGTGAACTAGCATTTTGCGAACATTTGTTTGTTTCGATGGGCAAACAGGATCAAGATCGGGTCGGCATCGGGTTTGATTACTAAAAATAGTCCGGTAGGTGCATTCCGTGGCGGACAGGGCGAGGAGGGGCAGAGTGCGCGCGCGCCGTCCTTGGGCCGTGTCTCATGCCGTTCGTTCGCTATTATCTCTCGATCCCTTTTTTGCTTTTCCATAGTTATCCGACCGCGAACAATCCGATCGTTGTTCTCACGGACGCAGTAATCAAGAAGTTTCGATAGAGACACAAATTGCACATTTTTTACGCTACATTAACTTAGAATAATTTGATGAGTATCCTGCGGCTTCGGATTCCTTCGCGTCATCAGATTAAGTTAAAATACGATCGGACGCCTTTGACGTTAACCGATTGCCGACAAATAGTTCAACGACATATCGACTATTAAATTATTTACGCGCCGTAAATAATGTTTGGATATTTTATCGACGCAAGCCTCTCAGGTACCTTATGTTGAAAAAAAAGAGGTAACATGTGTGTATTCTGGAAGTGCAGATCAATATTCTTCGCTGGAGGGATCGCGGACTAGTACAAACTCGGATGATATGGAATGCTACTTGCTCCAT